CAGTTTAACAGCTTGATGAATAGGAAATAAAAACCATTATCAATGAAATAGATCGTAAAGAATTCTGTTCGTTCCACACAGTACACAGAGCCACATAAATTTGCAAATTGTTGTTAATTTTCGATAGAGTAACATATTCCATTTTTAACCAAGAAAATGTTATTGTTTTTTTCCATTTATATTTTATTTTATTACACTTACAAATCAGTGCATCGAATTATACTGCAGCCAGTGTGAAATATGCATGAAATTTGCATAAACTTGAAACCTTTTTGGTTAATTTCAGTAGATTGTGAGCACACGAGTAATATCAATTTATATATATATATATATATTACATACATACATATATATTTGTGTATATATATATGTATATTGTATATATAAAGAACGCGCTTTAAGTATTTATTTAGTGTTGTTGCTGTCGAGCACGCGACGTTGGCACGACTGAACACAGAGGAGACTCATGCGCAGATCACAGATCACAGATGAGTTGAGGTCCACTCATAGATGCTCACTGACTCTGTCTGACTGCCACTGTTCTGAGAGCCAAAAGACACGACTCAACTTGGCCTGTCTGATTATAAAATAGTACTAAAAACTACATCAAAATCAAATACGAAACGTAGCCAACGAGCGCGCAAATTTATGCGCAACTGCGCTGCCAGCGTCAGCAGAGCGACTCAATGAGTGTGTGTTTGTGTGTATGTATGAGTGAGTGTTGGATTATTTTCATTCATCAAAATATGCGCTCGCTCACTGGCGTCGCTGTCGCCGTCGCCGTCGCCATTGCTATCGCAGCGCTGCTTATCAATTGCAATTGCAAGCAGCGCGCACGTAACTCATACGACGCGTTGTCGCTGTCGACACGTCGCAGCGTCGCAGCATCGCAGCATCTCTTAATTAGCTGACTTGTTCTAAACACAGCAGCGCTCTGCTTAGTTTCGCTTTCTTTTGGCTTTGGCCAATTTGAAAGGGAATTCATTATGTGGAGAGAGAGACAGAGGCATAGGGATAGAGAAAGAGGGGGCGATAAATGGTATCTGCTTTTCCCACAGCTGCTCACACCTGTCGTCCAAAGTAGTTCAGTGTCGGCATTTAACGCGCCCACTTCCTTGCACACTCTTTTCATTAGCTTTCGTATTGTGAAAAGTTGCTCTGATCAAGCTGCTATTGTCTATAGCACTAAGACCAAACAAGTCACACGAAAATTACTTTAAGCCTTTTAGAACTTAAACTAGCTAATCATAAAAAATTCTTAGCGACTTTATTCTATATTAGCCAGTTGTGGGCGTTAAGAGAATTAATTAAAAATGTGTTTTAAAACATTTCGGGATATATTTGGGCATCGCAGCTCTCAGTATAAAACACACGAGTCTCTTTATGAAACTTGTGAAACTAGTTATGCATGACTCTACAATACTTGTTCAAAAACAGATTTATTAGTACAACAATGATATTTGATATTTCAATTGATCTTAAAACGTAGCCATTTTTATAGTCTAGTCAGTAAATTATAGTACAATTCATATGTGTCATATTGCTTCTACTTTGAGTTTTTACCCTGAGCTAATCGAAAATGGGAAACATTACGGTACGTTTACCCAATTTTTGCTCAGTCCTTAGGAGTCAGGGATACTGTAACTGGAAATTTGCATGCTTACTGTGCAAAAGATGTGCAAATTAAGGGAAAAATACTACGTTCCTAAAGAAAGCGTTCAGCGGGCGTAGATATATCCGCCATACCTTTTTTTCTTGGGCTTTTAAGTCTATAAATACATATATGTATGAAAATCATCACAACTTTATATTTTATATATTTTTCCCTTTGGAAAAAATGTATAAAATATGTGATTTTTGGAAATTGCACAAAACTAATATACCCTTCAAAGTGCTCAAGCAAGCTTAAACCTGAATAAAGTAAATTAGTTAGTTTGAAAGGTCTTGGGTCGTTTTTGGTTAAATTAAACATTTGGCTAACTCAACTACAGGGTATCTAGCTAATTAATAATGATAAACAGATCCTTATTTAAGATTATGATAAATAATTAAAACAGAAAGACAAAAGAGCAGCAGCACGAATCAAACTGATTCACGAATTCCTCGATTCTGAATAGATCACCCATAAATTGCTTAAGCTAAGTTCTTAAGCTGCTCCCTTTTATAGTAAGCAGCTTTCAAGTATGCGAGATATATGTATTTATATTTGCTATATATGTATTATAATTTGGGATTTCCGGCTTCCCTCTTGCCAGCGCACAACAAATGGTAATCAAAATCAGCGTGTTGCATTGCCAGAGCTGCCTTTGATCCGTTTCAATTCAATTTGCCTTGGGGGCTAGTTCTGCCGCCCGTTGGCGACACCAAAAAGCACGCTGGTGGGAATATGTATATATATATATATATGTATAAGCTACACATACATACATATATATAAATAACAACAAAAAATAATATTGGGCTTTTTGTCGCTATTTTATAACTACGTAAAGTGCGAGGGCCCAACGGCAAAAGTAAATGACAGCGTTTCGTCGTTATTCCTTCCCTTCCCTTCAGTGAGGTGAATTCCATAACCATCCATCGAGCGACCCTTGTCTATAGCAATACATATATGTATGTATATTCATATGTATATGGATCTATTGGTGGCTTGGCTGGCATGCTCTTTCACACATAGCACGAGTATGGGCAAAAAAAACGTGCCAAAGCATTTTTACCGGAACTGTCGATCTTCATTTTTGAAAGTGGAAAATATCATTTTATACGCAATACCATACCATATACGCATATGCTATATACATACATGTACTTTTGTATATACCTAGTAAATGAAACGAGAAACCACAAGAATTTTGAAGCCAACTGTGTAATACTCGTTCACGGTTAGCAAATGCTCAAAAACTTAAAGAAATCCGAATCAACAAGAAAGTTGGATTATATATTTATCTGTTTTTCACATTTTATATTTTGCAATTTGGAGTGTTACAAACAAAACAAAGCCAGTGTTCCAAAAAAGTATATATAAATCCATATAAACCTGAGATTCTTAAAATGCATAGCTAATATTTCTGGTATATCATTAATATCAATTAGGACAGATATATATTTGCTGTCTTTATAAACTGAAACTATTTGATTGTATGATAATTTCGGTTGATATATAATTCATATATAGAATTTTAAAGGCATTAAGCAAAAATGAGCCCTGTCGTTAGGGAGGCCCGAGCATAAATAGTTTGGTAATCATTGTTTATTTGTAGATTGGTAATAAACTAACTTATTTATCAGCAAATTAATCATAGACGTAGATTTAACAAAAAATATTTGGCGTATAAACAATGTGAGATGATTTATATATGTATATTTAAAATCCTTTATATTTTGAAGAAACTCCTGATTTTTCTTAGCAATTGTTAATGTTCCGCTCGGATTCCTCCAATCCTAGTGAAGAAGTCTTACAATAATTGTCTTCACAATATGCCGGACCCTTCAATAAATATTTATATTTTACATATAGTAGTATGTTACGAAAGTGATAAAGACAAGAACGTATTAATTGGGTGTATTGAAAAACTTTCAGCAGTCAATGCTAAAAGTTTTTTACAAACATATTTATTTGTTTTTTTTTTTGCTTTTATTTTTTTTTTTTATTTATAATTTTATATTATGTTTAAACGTATTATAAGGTATTGATAAAAAATTTTCAAGATCACAAATCATATTTTATTTAATATTACATGAAAATGTGCAGGCAATTTTCATAACGCTTTTTATTGTTGCTGTTTGCGTTGCGCGAGATGTTAGCATGTTTTACAATAAAAAAGAGCCCACTGTATGGCTAATAAGCAAAGACTTAATACCGGAATACATTTGTTTTTGTAAATATATGGCAAAACACAAAATATGGCAACTCTAATTTCAAAGAAAAAATGCAAAAAGAATGTCAAAAGCAATCTAATACTTGTACGTAAGGATTAAATCGGGTTGTATGCGTGAGCGTGACTGTGTGTGTGTGCATGAATATTGTAAAGGATTGAGAGAAAAGTGTACGTGTGTATTGGTATGCGTGGGTTTTTGTTGTCGTTGTTGCCGCCACCGCCGTCGCTGCAACAGTTGCGCGCAGCTACCACCTTTTGCGCAGTCGCAGCTGCTGCCGCTGCTGCACTATCGTGTCAGCTGTAACGCTTCCATGTATGCTTATATTATATATTAGATGTATTGTATGCATGTGAATGTGTGTGTGTGAGTGTGTGTGGAGTTACTTTGTAAGGTGCCTCTATACGGGTTTACTCCTCCGTTTTGGGACGCCGAAATAGCAAAATGTGCGGCTCCGGTTTATGTATCATGTAGTGTATCCAACCGCGTGATTGCTGTACTCCAATTGATCTCCATTCGGTTTCAGTCATCAAATGCGTTTTGGGTACCAGCTTCACGAGGTCTTTCGGCAAAACCACATGTCTGTGTAAAAGGAAGTTTAATACATACATACACACCCATACATATATACATATATATATGTATATACATATATATTACGTTTCAAATTATGTATATGGACACTCACCTGTACTCGAACTTTTCATCATAGTATTTATCCGAGTAATAAATGTCTTTGCTCATCTTTGTGATCTGCTGGAATTTGGAAAGGGTGCTGGAATTGAATTTGTATTTAGCGTCGGCGTCCTTTTCTGCACGTCTCAATTCGCAATCCTCTGTCTGTTCGATTTTCTTCAATTTTGTATGATCGCACACCGATATTACTATTGTTCAGTTAATAGTTAGTGGCTTTTCGATCAATTATAGAGGTTTATTTATATGCAATTAACGTTTTTAGGATAATTTAAAAAAGTAAAAAGTGACGCGGTCTACAATTATTTTTGTTCTGGTTCCAGTCTATTCTGTTCATTGATCTACTTATGTATATCGATTACACGCTATGCTTCCATAGTTCGATATTGGAACATATGAACAGCAGTGACGAACTGGTTTTAGTTCACATAATTCGCCGCTGCGTCAGCGCACTTTGGTTAGTGGTCAGTGTTAATATTGTGTTAAATACAGCATAGTGAATAATCAATGGCATTCAAAATTAATCAAATTTACTGTAAACAAGTTACCGTATATTTCTGCATGTTGAGCGCGCGTTTATTGAATGACTTTTCGGTAAATTGTGGTGGTCGGCCGACAAGTCAAAAGTAAAGATACTCGATTATTGTGGAGCAGCTCAAAATAGAAGCATATGCTTGTAGACAATAAAGAAGCTTAAATAAAGTATTATTTTAGAGTGCTGTATTTAATTATAACATACATATGTATGTACATCACGGTGTTATGTCAAATGTTACCATATCAATAATGGCCGGCGGCTACACAGCTGTAGCAACATTGCACTGTAGCAACATGTTTTGCAACATGTGTACAATAAATAACCTTGTAAAACGTTGCAGAATGATACCATATGTTGGTGATATTACGCGGATGTAATGCAAATTAAAAAGGTAACGATATTTTTATTTTATTAAGGCAAATCAACTTAATTTCCAATTCTTAATTAAGCACAAACTACAAAATTCTGAAGGGAACTTCACTGGGCTCTTAATCGGTTGCCATTGCTTCTCTCTGTTATACATTAAATGGTCTTACAGTTATTTCTGTGCTGGTATTTACTTACATATGTACATGTGTATGTGTGTATTTGTTGCCTCCAACGCTATTTCTGTTTGCAAACTCTCCTTCTCTGTGTTTTCTTAGTTAGCTGTGACTTCTCAACTGATTTCCAAGCTCCTTCCTTCTTGTTTCCGCGCTCACTTGCAGCAATTAAATTAAACAGAACGCCAGAACTAAAGGATTGATAAAACGCCAAACCTCTTTTTTGTTTATTTGGAATTACTTAATTCCATATCAACATAATATTTTTATTGAATTCAGTAAAATTTTTCAAACAGTTTCTCATTTGTTTTGTTACACGTACATGTTTATGAAGCTTTCTGTTGCTGTTGTTGTTGTTGTTGATTTTCAGTTACTTTTTCTGTTGTAAGTTCATTTTTGTTTAATATTACATCTTTGTTTTTCCCATATTTTTTGCTTTTTTTGTCTCTTTTTTTATTTATTTAATATTTAAACTTTGTCATTGATTTATAGTTAAACTTAAACAATACAAAAGCAGTATTTTTTCCATTCAATTTGTTTCACATAAATATATATATATTTTTATATATATATTACCATGATTTTTATTTTTATTTCAATTTTTTTTATGAAGGATTTATCTATACTTTTTACTTTTAAATCTAAATTAAAGCAATTCTGTTAGGTTTTACTTTTTGTTACACTTGAAATAATTATGAATATTTGTTTGTTTATTGTATCTTAGGTTTTTTTTTCTATTTTTCCATTTTGGATTTTATTTAAATAAAATGCAATTTTTTAATTTTTAAAACTGAAAGTATTTGCAACCGAAAATGTGTTTGAATTTATTTTTGTTTTTACTTTTGTTTTAAATGAAAAAGTTTTTGTTATCATTCTTATATATAGTTTACATGCTGTATTATATATTTTGTTTTGTTTATGTATATTTGTTTTACCATTTATATAACATATTTTATGCATACATAATTTGTATACCATTGTAATGTTACGTCGCTTATTTCTATTTAATCATATTTTTCAAATTAATCAATTTGCTCATCTTTCATTTGGGCTTGCAAATAATACATAAATCAATTTCTTCCTCAAGCTATTTATTTTGCTTTCTTTTTTTTAAGTTTTTCTAAAATATTTTTTTTATTATGCGCTGCGGAATTATTTTTATTTATTTATTTTTTTTGCACTTGTTGTGAGAGATTTCGTTCTCGGACACATTGTGATCCAAATGAATTGCATACTTTACGCTGAAATAGATTAAATATTACATATACATATATATGTATACATACATGCATGTGTTTTTGAAATTGTGGGCGTGGCAGTGTTTTAACATAACATACAAGTACTAAGATCATTTTTGCTCTCACATTTATTAGCTGGCATTCAGTTTGTGTATTTCATTCTTGAAATTACTTAAATTTTCTAAACGGTTTTATATAATTTCTTTTAAATAAACAACTGCCACATTTGTTAGCTAGGTAATTCGTTGATTTTGTAATCTTACTATATATAATATATTATATTTACTATTCAGTTTATTATATATAGAAGTTGAGCTTTCAAAGGAGCAGCGGCAGTACCTCAGAGGCTGCGAAAGATTTTACAGGAGGGAAACATTTAAAAAAAATTATAATTTTTTACGTTTTTTTATTGTTAAAAACGTTTAAATTTTTTGAAATAGTTCTAGTAGAAAATCTTGAATATGTAAAAGACAGTTTAATTTAAGAAACACAAATAAAACTTTTATATATTGTTTCAAAGAATGTCTAAGCTTTGATTGAATTTTTATTTATAAATTTTAGAACATATTAAAAAGCGTTAAAAAAAATTGACTTGTTTTTAATGTAAATGGAAAAAGTTTGCAAATTTAAATTTGTTTAATAATTGAAATAATGCATTACAAAAGAATACGAATATTTGAAAATCTCCTTAGCATTTAAATTACATTTTTTCCATGCGTTTCTTAAAGTTTTTAAAAATTGTAGTTTTTGTTACTTTAATTAAATTTTTTTTGATTCGTTCTTTAGAGAATTAAAAAGAAATGTATTTGCAGCTGCCTTGTGTTGATTACGTTTTTTTTTTTATATATATATATATATTTTTTAATTTGTTTTTTTAATGACTTTCTTTTAATACACTTGGTGTATAAAATGGCAGTATATATATATATGCATTTATATATAGTATATACATATATATAATTATTAAAGATGCTTTATCAAGTGTGTTCGTTCGAGTATATATGCCGCATGCTAATTAGTGCAAAATATGACAAATATTTGGATCCGCAAGCCAGATTTCTTTTTATGACGTGCCCAAATTAAAAACATTGTTATCCTTAGCAAATTTAAACAGAAAATGCTCATTTCAATTTCGCGAATGAGCATAAAACTATGGCCAATTGTTTTTCAATAACTGTAGTTGAAAATTCAATTACAAGCGCTAAAGGGTCAACATTTACTTGGCAGTTATATATATATATATATACAACTACAGTTATATATATATATATATTATTTAATACTTTTATTTTATTATTTAGAATTGTTTTTAAATAGCATTTTTGTTACCCTATATAAACTACTAATATTTATCGGCGGTTTTGGGAACACATTTTGCCCAGGTCAAAATTTTGAAACAAAGGGGATTTTATTTCAATTTTGTGCGTATTAATACGAAAATATTGTAAGAAAAAAAAACAAAGCCAATATACTCGATTTACTTTCGTGAACGAGTATGAAAAGCCTGTGGGATTTGGACTTAGCAGCAGATGAGAAAGAACGGAATCTAACAAATATATTGAGTGAATCTCACAACTCGTGTTTTGCTTTCTTTTTTTATATTTTATTTATTTATTTTTTTTTTTTTTGCAGCATTTTACTTCACTACTTAACTAATTGCTTTAGTTCTTTTTCTAGTTTTTTTTTTTTTATTTTCTTTATTTATTTAATTTATATGAAAACATGCACTAGAAAAATTGTTAGCAGATCTATTAGGTAAACAATTAAATACATTTTAGTTACTTAACCGAAAGTAACTGCTAATAATTTGTTTAACTGAAATTTTTTGTATTGTTTTACCAATGTTTTAATCAAAAATGTTTGCAAAATTTGTATGAAGTTTGAAAATAAAATTTTAAAATTTATAAACTAAATCAACGGAATTTGAAAAAAGTATTACAAATTTTCGCATTATTATTTTTTTTTTTTTTTTAATTCAGTTAATAAAAGTAATAAGTTGTTTATAATATATTTATAATATATGTATATATATATATTAAAGTATAACATTTTTTCCATTAAACTATTATTTAGCGGTTTTGTTGCATCTGTAGCAAAAACTGTGTAACATTTCATGTTAGTAATGTTTTTTTATACCCTTTTTTATTATAATTATTTTTATTTTCTTTCCAGCTGCTTCTTACATTTTAAACTAGCACTAGTTAAGTGGATGGTAAAAGGGGATTAGTTATAAAGCTTGGTATGCCATTGAAGAGGTTTAGCTTTTGTTTTTTATTCGATTTGGTTTTTTAAATATTTTTATGTATGTATGTATATTGGTTTGTTATATTATTATTATTATTATTTATTTTTGTGGGCTGGGCAAAGGTCTCAAGAGAGCGAGAGAAATTTGTTAATCTAGTTGAGGCCTATTTTTGAAGTTGTCTCTAAAAATTGTGAAATAAAAATAATTGAAAATTAAGTTTTTGTTATGGTATTTGTGGTATATACCAAAAGTAGTCGCAGCCTGTGGGGGTGCTCCCTCTTCTATCGCCCCGCTCTGAACCCCTTCGCTAGAGTCGTGGCTGCTCCTGCGGCTGTAGATGAGAATTGTTTGGTGATATATCGAAACGGGTTTTGGTTTGGTTGTTGTTTTTTCTTTTTTTTTTATTTATTTATTGTTAAATTAAGTTCGTTTTTATTTAATCTTTATTAATGTTTCTCAGTTTTGGGGAATTCATTGTATACATAATATATTTGCTGTTTTTTTTTTTTTCAATTTAATTTTATTTACTCATTTTGTTTTTGTTATTGTAACCAGTTACTCTGTACTTTATTTTCAGCTATGTTTTTTTTGCCTCAATTTTTTATATATGTTTTTTTTTTTGTTTTTTTTTTTTCATTTTCATTCAATTTTCACATTAATGATCTTGTTTATTTTTTTTTGTTTTTTTTTTTTTGTTTTTTAGTTTTTCATAATAAGTGAAGAGTATTAATTTTAAATGTGTTTGCGGATTTTTTGTTTTTTGTTTTTTTTTTTTTTGTCTTTTTGTTTTGTTTTTGTATCTAACTTTCATTTGCTTTGCGTTTGCCTTTTGCTTTCTATTCCATTTTATATTTTAAAATCTACATTTATTTACTTTTTTGTATTTCTTTAGAAATTTGTAGTTAAACATTTTTGGTTTTTTGTTTTTGTTTTTGTTTTTTTTTTTGTGTATGCTTTGCTTTGTTTTCTGGGAACAATGAGGCCTGTTTAAATTTAAAACAGATTAAAATAAATAAATAAGTTTATATTTTATTTCTGCTATGGGTGGTTAGGGGGTTTGGGGGAGTGGTAGGGGATGGTTGGTAGGGGGTCATGTGTGTATGTATACATATGTGTTAATATATGCGTTCCAATCGTTCACTTTTTTTAAAGTTTTTTTTTTTATATATATATATTTAAATATATATATAAGTATTTATTTAAATATTATAAATATAAATAATGTTTTTTTTATATATTTATTTTTAACACATTTTCTCATTGAGTTATGAACAGTTGCTGCATTTGTCATTTGTTTATATTTTGTTCGCTGCGCTGTTTGTCGTTTATATCATTAATTATTTTTAATTACACCAAAAAAAACAAAGTAGAATTTGTTAACAACAATTTTTCCATTTCATTTCAATTGTATTTATTTTATATCATATTTGCGCTAAATTATGTGGCTTGCCAATTTTTAACCATTTGCTATTTAATTATCTTTTATCTTTTTTTTTCCTAAATTGTTAACTAAATAAAATTTCCTAACCAATTAAGTTTTTATGTTTGGAGGCGTGTATGTGTGTATATATTTATATATATTTTTTCTTTGTGTGTGGGGCATTTCATAGCGTTGGGTAGTTTTTCTTTTAGCGCAAAGTTTAGTCATGTTCTTCTTTCTTTTTATTTTTACTCTTGTAGCTCTTTGTTTTAGTTATTCTTCTTCTTTGGTTGTTGCTGTATTTATTTTGCATTTTCATTTCGCTTTTGTTTTTGTGTTTTTCTTTTTGTTCGTTTTGCTTGCTGCTACATTTTGTTTTGTGTGTCTGTGTGTGTGTGTGTGTCGGTGTGTGTTTGTCACTTTTGTATTTTGACTGTTTTTTGTGACCGCTTAACTTTGCATCTTATTCATCAATTTTCTTAATTTTGTTATATTTATTCTGCATTTTATTTGTATGCCTAATTCGCGCTCTGCTTTCATTTCGGCTTCCTCCACTGACTGCTTCAATCTTCCTTGTTTAGCTGTTCTTGTTGCTGCTTTGCGCTCATTCACTGATGATGCTTTGCTCCATGTTGGGTATCTTAGTCGACCATTAACTCAAAGTGGACGGATCCTCTCCTATCCGAACGATCATGTTTGATGTTGCGAGCCCAGGCTTTGCACTCAATGTTGATCAATACGCCGGCTATATAGAGTAGAGAGTAAATGGAGTTTGTTGAGAAAGTTATTTAGTTGAATGATAAGAAAAACCTAATACAATAACATATTCTTATTGTTGCATATATAAATATTTTTTAAAAGAGCTAAACATTTTCTTTTTTGTAGACTTCATAGGTGAAGGCCTAAATACTTTTTTTTTTAAATTTTTTTTAACATAAGTTCCTACATTTCCAATTTATTCAACTCTTTAAAACATTTTAAAAATATTTTTATTAAAGGGGAATTCTCCTCTTGCTAATCAGTAAATAAAGTACAAATCTCTTTGTAGTTAATTATGGTTTCCTTTTCAACACAAACTAAGTAAATTAATGAATGAATTTCTATTATTGTTAGCTTAATTGTGTATTCCGTAGCCTAGTTTTGTGATACCTTATTCTTTCAATCTACAATTATCTATGTCCATTTAGTGTGGCTGGCGAAGCGCGCTAATGACCCTTAGTTAACTGTCATAGCAATGGTGGCATATACTATATGTGGCGTAACAAGAATACAGAATTAGCTTAATTCTCTTTTGTAGCTCCCTCACTTTTTTTGCTCTTCCTCTGCGTCTCGCTCGTTTTCCCCCTCTATGCAAACTAAGGAATTATTACAGTTTATTGTGCCGTGAAATTGGGTTTCTAGAAGATTTTCTTTTGTTATTCCCAGTTTTATTTTTCCTCCTTTGTTTTAGGGCACGCAATTGGGTTGGCAGAAGTGGAAGAAGTTAAGCAGAAGCTAACTCAAACTCACATTACTTGGTTTCCAATTCTTGAACAGCTTTTGTCTATTGCCTAAGCACTACCATATATATGGAAACAAAGTTTTTCTTAATAAAATATGCTTATTGATATGGTCCTTCATCTATATCTCTTCAAATTTACTCATGCTCAATGCTTCAATTACTTAATGCCTTTTACTTCATCATATTCCATATATTTATACTTACTTTCAACGGTAAATTGTACAGCCACAATTGGCGGTATATAGCCCTCGATATTTTTGAATGGGAAATAGAATGAGGGGAAACCCATGCGAGGATAATAATCGCGTGACTTAATGTTTTCAACATCAGCTGGATTCTCGCCCTCGCACGATACCCAAACAACGGCAGTCTATAAAGTCAAGATCGTAAAGATATATAAGCTGGAAATTCATATTTATATTACATTAAAATTTACCTCATTTGGTCGCAGGCTCTGCTTCTCCTTGATGTGGTGTTTCAAGCCCTCTGGCATGTCTTTGGGCAAATTTGTTAAATCGTAAATCTGTGGCTCCCAGTTGTAAATCTAAGCAGAATGTATTTTAATTATAAATAAATAATATGCTATATAAATTTAATGAGCTTAACTGTCAATTTACCTTATTCAACTTGAGGAATATGCAGGGCCTGGCCACGTGATAACCAAAGTTATTTTCAAGAGTGCAGGGCGCAAAACTAGAAACTTCAACGCCACAGACTTTGCCCTCTGGTGGCGGATGCTCGAACGAGCAGTTCACTTGATTCTTCTTGGGTAAATCGTCATAGGCTGTGTATAAATAGATGTAACACATTTTGTATTATGGCCTATACCAGATTAAATATCATCTCTAATATAGTTAAAGCGAATTATTAATTAGCTTCTATCGAATCTGGCTTCATATAGCAATACTTTAATTGGGGGAAAACAATTATTACACTCACTGTGATCTTTTTTATTTCATTTAGACACAAAAAACAAATTTTTGATGAACAAAAATATATATTAATACATTTTTTTTATATATAAAATCTTGAACAGTCAAGTTATACAATGTATAAAATATTATAAACATAATATAAAATATAATACAAAATTAAATACATATAAAAATATTAATTTAAAAAAAAAAACATTTAGAAAATTGTCTATTAAAAAACTTTCGCAATTTTATATCATTAATAATAAATAAATATATATAATAATAAATACATTTTATGTTTTATAACTATCATAAACTTTTCTACTTTACTTACATCTCAGGAATCGCTCAGTTTCCTCAACCCAATACATATAATTGTCTTTCTTCGATGATTCGTACCAAACTAAAGTGCTCTCAACATTCGCCTCTGGGGGCATTGGTCGGAAGCCAAGACCTGAAAAGAAGATACAAAACATAGTATTGTAAACAATGTAAATAAGTGTTGAGTGATGGCTGAAAACAGTGCTAGTCAACAAAATGTAAGTTTTTAATGTTTTAGTAATTGACTAATTAGAACTTTTGCATTTAGTAATTTAAGTAAATGCTAATGCAAACGAACTTGAATTTAAATAATATTGAATTTATGACTTATTGAATTTTAATGTTGTCTTTGGGCATTAGTCTAAATTTAAAAAAAAAAATATTCTTTTTATTTCAATTTAAATATATATTATCAAAGTTTCTTTTTTTTATTAATACAAAAAGATTCTTTCTTTTATTTCTATATTTATATGTAGGTATATATTTTAATGATTTGAATTCGATTCTTAACTTACCTGGATTCGATCCAATCAATCCATTGTCAAGCATCCATTTGGGTTTATCTGCCTCCAGTGTTTGATAAAACACCGCAAATACGGCAGCAAAGAATCCAGTTAACGCCGCATAGAATATAATGTAGAAAAGTAAAATTTTTGCTGCAATAAAAGAGTAAAGAAAATCCATTGATTAATATTTAATTGATCTACCTTATATACATAGATGAATAAATGAATTATATACTCTTCAGCTGTGCGCCATAAAGTATTTAAATTTGGTTTTATGCTTCCGCAACGCGATGATGCAATATTATTTTTATTGTCCTTCTAGACATTATTTATTTTTTTTTTGTGGCTTTTAAGCGCTTTTAGCGTGCCACGCCACGCCCCGTTTTCAACGAATTGTGTGCGGCATTTTAATGGCTTTGTCAAAGTGTATGTGTATCTCTCCTATATTCATAAAAGCAAAACTTTTCCGAATGCCATTACATTTATGTCCTAATGGAAATTTTTCATGCTAAGCTACCTCAGAGTTCTAGTAAATTTGTATATGTATTTTTCGTTCTTTTTTACGTATCGGACTCTAATCAGTGTGAATTAGCCCCCATGGAATTGTATTTCTCACATGTATGTGACTAGTGTAGCCTTGAGAAAATTATTACATAATCAAGTTCTGCTCTTTGGTCTATGAATATTAATCTATTATGAATGTAATTTAATTATTATTATATTATTAATTTAAGTTTTATAGTTATATATCTGTGAGCATTTATTCATTTTTATCATTTATTTTGAAATATTTTGTTTTTCTTTAATTAAAGTTTTATAGTTTATTTCTGTATAATTTTTTATTATTATTTTAAAATATTTTGTTTTTCTTTATAATAAAACCCCAACAATAAATGTATATTGTATTTATGTAAAATAATTTAAATAAATATATATTTTAAATATATATTAAGAATATACATATATACAATTTGCCTATTTTGTTATACATATATTGTTTTATACTGGACAAAATAAATATACAATAAAATAAAAGCCTATATATTTTAAATAAAATAAAAAATTGAAAAGTCTTTAAAAAGTTTCAAGCCAATTAAAGCTCGAAAAATAATATAAAAATAATATATAAATAGTAGTAGTAAAAATTTAAAGAGAACAAAAATATATACATACATATGTATAGAAGTATTCGATGCTAGTTTTAAAGCTAGTTTTCTAGAAAGTTTTCTACAAATGCCAATTAGCGAGCGAGCATTGTGCTAAAAGACCTTCGACTAGCTGAGTAAGACGTTAACTGAGCCAAGAATTGGCACAGTTTGCCATACTTCTGGGCTAATTGACAAAGTGGGCCATGAAGTGGGGGTGTGTCACAGTATAGTCGTATGGGCTAGTAACTACGACAGTTGGAGGACTGCCACAGCTCAGCCCCGTTCACACTTGTATAACTACTCCACAGCTCTACGATTACACAATGCACGACTTTTGACATTTTCTTGGCTCCAGTTGCACATAAAACAGAGGTCGAACTTTGCGGGTGTGTGTATCTATGTGTGTGTGTGTGTGTGTGTATCTGTTTGTGTGTGTGTGTGTATTGGTGCTAGGCTAATATCCACTCTCCTGTGCCCTGGCGCAGTTTTGACTAGTTTGTCATTTTGACATTTCTCTTTTGTAGTTGAGTGTGATTAAAAGGTCACCAAGCAGTGTTACCCTTCTCCTTCCACTCTCCTACTTTATTTATAGTTCTTTGCCTTTTTATGGGAATTGCTTTAATTTTAGATTCGATAATTAAGTTCGGTTCGCATTACGCATACGCCATGTTACGCAGCAGCAGCAAATTGTTGATGCAGTGCAAATATGTTGGAAATGGCATTTGCCATTGCAGAGCAATTCTGAAAAGTCATTAATCATTTTGCTCGACGACTTGGAGAATTGTGTGCGTGAGTGTGTGTGTAGCGTGGGAAATTTACAAAAAGGAAATTGCAAGGAAATAGTAATAAATTAATGAATGAATGGGAAAAGTCGTCGGACTATTTGCATTTTCAAATTCCTTAATATGAATTGAGAGGAGTATTTAAGTGGAATCTTTTGTTTGTTTGTATTTTATAGAGAGCTAAGTAGAAGTACTTTGTTTTGAGAGAGAGAGGCCAATATTGGAGAGACCGTTTAATCATAACGAAAGATTAATTACTCCAAGTGCATATATGGATAATTTTTTGGTCTTTTGGTGAAACTTTTCTATTAAGAATATTTAGATTTAAGCAAATGAATTTCTTTATATTAAAATTATTTTTAATTCTTGGAAATGTTTCTATAATATTTTCAATTTATAAATTAAACAAATATTTTTATTTATTATATGGTATGTTACTATTCAATAAATACTAAAACTGAATAAATATATTATGGAAGATATATTCATTTGCAAAAATAAGGTATACCTCAGAAAAAAATAAAAATAAATAAATAAAATAATAATAATAACAATATGATAAAAATTAAACAAATAAAAAATAAGTATTTAATTTAATACCCTTAAAAATATTAACAGTATTCTCTAGTAAGCCTCGCAATTAAAATAAATTAATTAATTAAACTATTTGAAACAGCTTTGACCTTCAAATTTTATTTTATTATTTTATTGATTTATTGATTGATATACTTCTTTATTAACTATTGCTTTAGTAAATCAATAAGTCACTACAATAAGAACTCATATACAAATAAACTATCACATATATTGTTTAGAAATCTAGAACAATCCTTCATGTCATCAAATCAATACGGATTCTAGATGACAGTATTTCAAACATTTTAAGTGCCATATACTTATGGTCAAGAGCTTTTTAAAATACACTTGTAACAACAAATTGCTGCTCACGGTCAATTAATTGGCAAAAGTATTGCCAATACAAAAAAAAAAAAAAAAAAA